TTGCAGCTCGAGGTCAGTGAAAATGCAGCTCCCCTCACCTGCCATGGTCCGGCGCCTGCTGACCTGACCTCACCCTCACCCCGCTGCCCCGCCTGTGCCTGCTCACGCTCTGGCATGCGGGACCCGCTCCCTTCCAGCTCACCGTCCTCGTGCGTGCTGCCCACTCCGTCCCTGCGCGCCCTCCTTCCCTTCGCCACTCGGCGACCTCATTTGGACACACTCCTACTGGCCTTGACCTCCATCCGACCCTCCCAGCAGAGCCGGCCCACCCCCTGCCCCTGGATTCTGTCGCTCCCTGTCGACAGGTGTCCCTCTTGTCAAGGCAGGACCCCTGGAGGGCAGGTGAAAGAGTGGGGGTGGCAGGCTCATGGGACCCCCTCGCCCCACAGTTGGGGACATTGCTTCATGGGAGTTCTTCAGTGGGTCAATCCTGGCCACAGCCGTTTCCTCACCATCATCACCCCGTTAGTGTGGCGTCCAGTGTCCACCTGCCAGCCCGTGCCCCTCTTCCCCCCAGGTGTCCCAGATCACTATGAGCCCTGAGGAGAGCAGCTCTCAGACCTGGGCCACTTCCTGCCCCCAGATCAGGCCGTGCCTCCTCTGGGACATCCTCCTTTGTCCACCCTCTAGCCCAGCCCTATCTGTGTCCCCCTGCCCTTCACTGCCCGCCGCCCTCACCGACAGCAGGAGGCGGAGCTCGTCCGTCGTGGGGTCCTGTGTGAGGAGGCTCTGCAGCATGTGGTCCAATGCCTCTGAGGTCTTGTTGTAGAGGGTCTGTGTGGGGGTGAGGATGGTCAGGCGGCCGGCAAGCCCCAGTGGGTGGCACAGAGGGCCGAGACCCACGCGGGGCTGAGTGCCTTGGGCTCTTGGTGCTAGTGGTGTCCGCTCTCTGCAGACTCCTGGGGCCAGATGCCTGCCAGAGAGCTCGCAGGTGCCGGAAGGGCCTCGTCAATATCCCTATTTGGCAGATGGGGGGACTGGGCAGGAGGGCGGTCTGGGCCTGCCGCAGGGCACAGGTTTCTCAGTGGCTGAGGCAAGTTCACTTCTAGTGGGGCTGGCTTCACGAGCGTGCAGCCCGCGCAGGACCTGGCCTCAGAAGGTCCTGCCAGTGCCCCATTTAATGCTCTGCTGTCACCGTCCTGAAATTCTTCATAGGTTTTAAACAAGAGCCCAGCAAATTAGGCAGCTGGTTCCAATTCTTGGGTCTCATACGTGAGGCTCCCAGTCTTTACTGCTTGGCTGGCCGGGCGCACTCAGGGATGAACCAGCCCATCCTCCATCAGAGCCCATCTGGAGGGCTGTTGGCCTGGGCCTGGGGGGACTCCTCATGTGCTCACCCCTATCCAGTGCCAGCCTGAACCCAGCCTGGGGGTGTGGCATGAGTGCAGGGCTTGGGGGAAGGGCTGGGTTCAACTTTGATTCCCCCCTCCCCCCCAGACACCTCCCTTTCTCTGAGCTGACTTTCTCACCCCCGGGACAGTGGCTGCGGGAAAGGTGAGCTAATGTGTCCATAGGGCCTGGCGGAGTTAACACCAGCTCCCTCTCAAGCTGTGGGCAGCAGGCCGAGCCGGATACCCTGCCTGCGAACCCTCTGGAGACGGGATGCAGGCGCCAGGGGTGCACCTGTACGTTGGGCGGCTCCAGAAAAAGGCAGGTGTGTTTCTCCAGGACATCCAGCAGCGGCAAGGCCAGCACGCTGCGCAGGCAGATTGTCAGGAGCTGTGATTTCTTTTCCAAGTCCAGGGGTGGCCTCAGCTTGCTGTTTGGGGGACAGAGGGCAGTGAGGGAGGGGTATGGGGGCTGGGGATGGGAAGGGGGCCACCTGCTGGAGTAGACAGGAGCGGACGAGTCCTGAGCAGTGGACCCTCCTGGGGCTCAGGCATCCCCACCCCTCTCGCCTCTCTGCTTTGACCAGACTCATGTGTACGCTTCTGCCTTCCCGGCCTTTCCCCTCTGCGGCCTGTGGCTGGCCTCCTGTGCAGGCGACTTTCACGGGAATTTGTAAGGGACTCACTGGCCCGGCTGGGAGCAGGGGCTTGCAGAGCCTGTACCCCAAGCTCTCCTTTGCTGGGCAGACTGATCTCTCCCCAGGCCTGGTTACGCCACTGAGACGTCTGCCACTGGCCCAGCAGTGCTGGGCCTGCAGGATGCATGGCCGCTGCCCGCCCTGTCCCTCTGCAGTCAGAGAAGAGGCAGCTGTGGGCTCCCTGGGCTTCCCCTGCCAGGTCGGCCTCACCCTGTCCCGGCCGGGGCAGGGAGGCTGGGACCCCCTCGCCCCACCCGTAGGTGGACGGCTAAAGCAGGATCTGCCGCCTGCACTGGGGTCCTTGAGTCCTTGGGTCCCTTCCAGAGGACGTTGCCTGGAGCCTAGACTCAGTTTCCCTTTGCGTTTCCTCCCCTGACTGCTGGAGCCTGCTCTACACTCTGTCTGTGGCTGGGCTTTTGCCCAAGTGACCGCCCTGACCTTGAGTGTCTAGGGGCTCAGCTCATTCCGGAGAGTGGCCGTGCCCTCCAGACCAAATGCCCTGGCCTCGCTGAGCTGCCCATCTCCCAGCCGCCGTGGCCACCCTCGCCCTGCCCAGTGGGGTCTTCACTTCTGACCTCTCCCTGCCTCGCCGTCTCGCCGGCACCATGCCTGACCTGACGGGCTGCTGTCTGACGCTGAGGAAGCCCTTGCGTGGGGCTGGGGCGCCTACCAGAGGCTGGAGATGATGCAGAGGGTCCGCTGGCGAGTCAAGGTGCACAGCGTGTCCTGCGGCTCCTTCTCCATCAAAACCTGCCGATCCCCAGGGGAAGGCTCAGTCACTCATGCCCAGGCCTGGCCCGCCCCTGACACCAGGTCTCACCTGCCTCAAGACCTTGGTGCCTGGCACCCGTGGGGCGAGGGTGAGCTCGTCCGCAGACTAAAGCACAGACGTTAGGATCAGACAGGTCACGTCCGAATCCTGGCTGCCCACTAGCTGCAGGACTCCGGGCAAGCGTCTGAATTATTCTGAGCTTCATGAGCTCGGTCAATGGGAACCGCTATTATTATTATTATTATTATTATTATTATTAGTAATTGTCCATCACGCATATATTTTCTCCATTCCCCGGATGTTCTGTGGGCCACAGTCCCTGGTGACTAGTGGTCTGAGCTAGGTCAGTATCAGCAGAATGCGCGGTGTGAGGGGCACGCGCGTGGCCAGCTCAGGTCCCCCGGAAGTGGACACATGCATGTGCTTCCGTGTGCTCGAGGAGCCCAGCCGCCCCCCGTTGTAATTGTCCATCACGCATATATTTTCTCCATTCCCCGGATGTTCTGTGGGCCACAGTCCCTGGTGACTAGTGGTCTGAGCTAGGTCAGTATCAGCAGAATGCGCGGTGTGAGGGGCACGCGCGTGGCCAGCTCAGGTCCCCCGGAAGTGGACACATGCATGTGCTTCCGTGTGCTCGAGGAGCCCAGCCGCCCCCCGTTCCCTGTGGGGGCCTCTCATGGACGCTGCAGGGCCGAGGGTGGGGGGCGCCCGCCTCTGCCTCTGCCCCAGGACCCCGCTCTCACCATCAGACATTCGAGGAGCTCGGGGAGCTGGGAGAACTCGTAGCTGTGGGCGCCCTCGTTGCGGCTGATGGCCCCCACCAGCATGAGGATGGCCGCCAGGAAGCTCTGCTTCAGGGTCTCGTCCTGGCAGGGGCGGGGACAGGGAGTGAGAGCACAGGAGGGGACCGGAGAGAGTGGGGACCCAGTCGCACGGGAGGCGGGGCGTGGCCGGGCGCGGCCGTCCCTACCCAGGAGCTGTAGCGGAAATAGAAGATCATGCGGGACAAGATGTTGTCCACCCACGGGAGGATGTGGGCCTTGGCCTTGACCGCCATCTGGCCGTAGGCGAGGAGGATGGTGCTGCTGGCCCACTTCCAACGCAGGTCGTCTGAAGTCTGGCCGCAGTGGGCAGAGAAGGAGCATCAGGGCCCTGCTGGACCCTCCTCCGGCGAGCAGCGACAGGAGGGTCCCCTCGGCCCTAGCAGACTGCTGGAGGCAGGGTGTTCTGAGTGGGAGCGGGCCTCAGTCTACCTCCAGAGGAAAGCAGGCAAAATGCTTCTGCCCGTGAGAGTTATCTGGGGTGCAGTGCGGACGGGGGGCCACTCTGGCCAGCTGCACCCCGGTCTCTGGCCCTGGCCTCCTGTTTCAGATGGTGCACATGGCCAAGAGCGATTAGTAAATACACAGTGGCCGCCATGGCCACGCCTGGAGCTGTACCAGAGCCCGTCTTAACCCTGACAGCTGGCGACCGAGGGAGATGCTGCTCAGGAGGAGGAAGCCGAGGCCACGGGGTCACACCACAGCAGGGCGGGGACCGGACCGGGGGGCGGGATGCGTGGTCCAAAGCTTGCTCCCCAGGAATCCCTGCTGGGGGCTCAGACCTTCCCGGGGCGCGGGGCCCAATGTCCCAGCCCCTTGCCGAGGCCGCGGTGACCCAGGTGGAGCCAGTACCTTTGGGGAGAAGGTGTGCAGGCTCCACTTGATGGGTGTGCTGCGGCCGAACTGCTCCAGGACAGCCCACACGTGGTCCAGGTGGCGGGCTGCGGCCAGCCCCGTGGTGAGCGCCATGCCCTGAGGGGTGGGGGAGCAGGGTCGCCACACGGGGTCCCGGGACCAGGCCTGGCCCCTCACTGGGGCTGTGGCAGCTGAGCCCCAGAAGCAGAGGGGACTCGTCTGAGGTCACAAACATTGGCCGCTCACCCCCGTACCCTTTAGGACGTGCATCCCTGAGCCCAGTCCTGTGGGGTCTCTCCTGGAGTCTGGAGGAGGGGGAGGCAGGAGGCAGAGGAAACTCCCTGGAGCCCTGTTGTCACCTCAGCCCCCCAGTTCTGAGCAGACCTGTGCCAGAGGTGGGAACAAGGCTCCAGGAAATTGGTGTATGACAAAAAAGAGGACCGTGCTTGGATGGGCTCAGTCTGTGATGGGGCAGGGCCCAGCGTGTGACCAGGGGCAGGGCCCAGCCTGTGACCAGGGGCAGGGCCCAGCGTGTGACCAGGGGCAGGGCCCAGCGTGTGACCAGGGGCAGGGCCCAGCCTGTGACCAGGGGCAGGGCCCAGCGTGTGACCAGAGTCAAGGGCCAGCATGTGACCACGGGCAGGGCCCAGCCTGTGACCAGGGGCAGGGCCCAGCGTGTGACCAGAGTCAAGGGCCAGCATGTGACCACGGGCAGGGCCCAGCCTGTGACCAGGGGCAGGGCCCAGCGTGTGACCAGAGTCAAGGGCCAGCATGTGACCACGGGCAGGGCCCAGCCTGTGACCAGGGGCAGGGCCCAGCGTGTGACCAGGGGCAGGACCCAGCGTGTGACCAGGGGCAGGGCCCAGCGTGTGACCAGGGGCAGGGCCCAGCGTGTGACCAGGGGCAGGGCCCAGCGTGTGACCAGGGGCAGGGCCCAGCGTGTGACCAGGGGCAGGGCCCAGCGTGTGACCAGGGGCAAAGCCCAGTGTGTGACCAGGGTCAAGGCCCAGCGTGTGACCAGGGTCAAGGCCCAGCGTGTGACCGTGGTCAGGGCCCAGCGTGTGACCAGTGTCAGGGCCCAGTGTGTGACCAGGGGCAGGGCCCAGCGTGTGACCAGGGATCGGGCTAGGCGTGTGGTCAGGGTCGGTCGGTGTCAGGACAGGCTGAAGCCTGGGCCCTCACCTCCCTCTGCTTGGGCCACTGGTGGGATGTCTCCAGCAGAGTCCGCAGGTGTGTCCGGACCGTGTTGCCATTGTCCTCGGCTTGAAGGATCAGCCCGTAGTAGACGAACAGGAAGGCCTGGGGAAGGTCCGCTTCCTGTCCTGAGCCCGACCCACCTCTGTCCACCCGCATCCGCCTGGAAGGCCCGCTGCTCCCCCTGACCAGGCCCCGCCCTCTGCTACTGTCAGGTCCCCTCGTTTCTTCTGGGGCCCCGGGCCTTGCTCCAAGAGTCCGTCCAGGGACGGGCAGCAGGGGCTGCTTGTGGGGACGCAGGGTACGGCCCACCTTCTCTGGGGGCTGCTCCTGTTGTGTCCGGTCAGGCGTGGTGAGTGCCCACAGCAGCTCCTTGGACCACACGTCTGTGTTCAGGAACTGGACCGACTTGACGGCTATCTGTGAGCAGACCGGGCGGGCAGGGCTGGAGCGGTCTCCCCTGGGAGCTGGGCCTCCATCAGCACCCCCACCCTGGGGCCTCCATCAGCACCCCCACCCCGGCCCCGCCGGCTACTCGGAGCCCTGACCGCACTGTCCTCTTGCCCCCTTCCCTCTTTTGAGATTTGGGTAAGTTGGGTTCTTTCTTCCTTAACTGTGTGACGGAATTAACCTGGAGCCTCTGGGCCTGGAGTCTGCTTTGGGGAAAGGCGTAGAAATATGACTCCCGTTTTTTGGATAAAGGACTACTCGGATTTTCTGTTTCTTCTGGTATCAGTCTGGTAACATGCGTTTCTCAGGGAATTTGTCCCGTCTAAATCGCCTAATTTGCTGGAATCACATTTCATTATTACCATTTCGTGTGGAAAAAAAAGCGTTTACTATTCCTTCTTTTCTGATACTGGTGTTTTGTGTTTTTTATTTTCTTGATCAGCTTATCGTATGTCAGTCTTTTTTTGGAGAACCTGCTTTGGGTTTCATTCATTCTCTATTGTTTGTTTCTTTAAAAAAACGTCCTTGGATTTCTACCCTAGTTTTTATTACTTCCTTCCTTCTACTTACTTTGGGTTGAATTTGCTCTTTTTCTGAGAGCTTCTTAAAAATGGAGGTTTACATAATAGCTTTTATGTCTGTCTTCTTTTCTAATATAGGCATTTAAAAATATAAATTTCTTTCTAAACATTACTTGTTGTTGAACCCCACCAATTTCCATACGTTGTGTTCCCTCATCAATCTGTTCAAAATATTTCCCAAGTCCCCTTCACATTTCTTCTTTGGCCCATGTGTTACTCAGACGTGTTCTGATTTCTAAACATTTGGAATTTTTCCAGATATATTTTTGCTATTGGCCTTTAATTTATGTTCTGGTCAGAGAACGTAATCTGTTTGCTTTCAGCCCTTTTCTATTGACTGGAACTTTGCATATGGCCCAGCAAGGATCTGTCTTGGTGGTGAGTGTCCCGTCTGCATTTGAAAGACATGTCATTTAGATCAATTTGGTTAATTAGGTTGTTCAAGTGCTCTATACCCTGAGTGATTTTCTGCCTTTTCTGTTAATTACCTGTATGGCTGCTGCTGGTCTTATTTCTACTAGATACCATTTAATGACGACATTTCTGCTGCTAGATGATGACGATGGCGTTTGATGAGGGCTTCCCATGTGTCACACGGAGCCAAGCCCTTTATGTGGATTATTTCCTATACTCTTCACGACAGACATTTGAGCTAGGTACTCTCAGCCCCGTCCGACAGGTGAGGAAACTGAGGCACGGAGAGGCAAAGCAGGTCAGCCAGGTCGCGCGGCTGACATTGGCTGAATTTGGACTTGAACCCAGGTCCGCCAGGGTCTTGTGTCCCTTCTCGCATCCGCACCTGACCTCACATGGCCGGATGGTCAGAGAAGGAGCCGAATGGACACCGGCCCTCAGCCGCGGCCCCTTCAGTCCGCCCCGACCTGCTGCCTTCCTGCGCTGCTCTCAGATCCGGCCTCCGCCTCCTCTCTGGCCCCCTCCGTCATGGACTCAGCCCCCCGGATGGGTGAGAAGGGCCTTGTATGTGCTGGACACTTGCCCCGTGCCAGGTGTCTAGGGGCCGAGGTTCAGATCCACCCCAGGTACCAGCCCCATGACGATGTCACCTCCTCTCCCCTCTGTAAGCCCGTTTGCTCATCTGTAAAGTGGGCTTCTCCCTTCCTCCCCCTCACCCCTTTTTCTCCTAGGGCTGAGCAAGCAGCCCATCCACTGTGGTTTGCTGCTCACTCCCCACTCCCGTTGTCCCCGCAAAAGTCCCCGGAGGCCAGGCTCCCTCCCTACCTGGGTCAGCTTCTCTTCCCAGCATGCCTTCTCCCCCTGGCTGAGGAGCTGCTCTGTGGGGACAGGGTCATTGGAGGCCAGGTCTGATGTCCACAGCCCGGGGCGGATCTCAGGCTCCGTCTCCCCCATCCCTCGGACACGGTCCTGCCTCTGCCTGTCCCCGCTCCGGGGTGGAAGTGAGCCCAGAGGACCGTGAGCCCTGCCGGAGCTTGGGGTCCAGAGCTGGGCTGGAGCTGTGGCCCTGCCGGCCTTGTCGTGTGGCCTCGGGTGGCCACGTGAGGCTCAACAATGGCGAAGGGAGGGGTCCCCCGGCACGGCCCTTTGGGATGTGCTGGGGTCCCCTCAAGGCGGAAAAATAAGGGAGACCCGGTCTGAGAGGGAGGGGCCGCTTCGGGGGTTCCGACACACCCAGGATGGCCGAGGGGAGGTGGGCTGTGGGGGTGCTCGCCAGCAGCTAGCTCTCTGCCATAAACATGCTTCGCCGCCCAGCCCCCTCCCGGATCTCTCGCGGGCCCTGCCCCAGCCACGCCATGCTATCCTGGAGGCAGAGGGCAGCCTGGGGCAGGACGTGACCGGGGGCGGGACGTACGGTTGGAGGTCAGGACGCCCATCACGTAGAGGAGGCTTCGGTGTGGGAAGACGCCCGTCAGGACCTCGGTCTCCAGCTGCTGGGCCACTGGCTGCCACGAGTGCCTGCAGATGGCCACCAGCACGTTGCCGGCCGCGTCCTGGTACGCCTCTTCCAGCTCCTTTGGGATGGGGGAGGCAAGCAGTGAGAGCGGGCGCGCCCACGGACCTGGCATCTGGCGGGCGTGATCTGCTTTCGTAGGCAGGGCCGCTGTTGACAACCCATCTGTTGGACAGAAAACTGAGGCCGAAGAGTCAGCATCGCGGCTGGGGACAATGTCATATCCTTTGACTCTTTATCCCCGTGAATTCAGAACCAGTCTAGGCTCCTGTCTGGAGTTCTCTGGCCTAAGGCATCAGCTGCGTGGGGACAGAGGCCCAGCCCGCCAGTCCCCTGGCCCTCCGCACGTGTTCAGAGCACCCCCGGCAGCCCTGTGGCGGATAAAACCCACAGCCACAAACCGGACGGAGGGGGAGAGGCCAAATAAGAAC